TAATTCCCCATTAATTGAATACTAAATTCAATTTAATACCAAAATATCCTTTTAATCATCCTTTCTTACAATTTAATCTAAGCTATGAATTCTATTCATCCTCTTCTTTCATTATTTAATTTAATAAATCCTAATATTTTTAATTCATTTCAATTTAATCCTTAAATAAATTTTTGGGGCATTTTAGAGCGGACACGTTTGCTGAAGATTGTTCGAGTCCTATACTCCTTGAAAGAAGAAGGAGCGGACTTGTCTTCCGAAGAATTTTCAAGTCTTACTTCTCCTGAAATTATAGTGGAATGGATTAATCTTTTGAATTTATCATGGCCGAACAAATTTGATCATCTTTTGATCTTTGCTCTATTCTCGTTGCACGATAATGAGCAAAGAGGGGCAACTGTAGACGCTCATTTTGTCTGGCCCATTACATCCTTCAACCCATTTACAAGCCCCGCGACCAGTCGCATGCCGATGATGTTTCCATATACCGATCGATGAAGAGAATATGAGCTTTATGGCAAGAATAATAATCTTTGAAAAGAATATTATTATTTCCTAAAGTACAATAGATCCAAAACAATCTAAGAAGGAAAATAATCTCTCTTTTATGAGGAGAGATTTTCAAATCTTCTAATAAAGGAAAGAAGATCCTCTTTGAAGAGGATAAATAGTCATTCCTGCAAATCAAAAAGGGGTACGATCCAAAAAAAAGTAGAGGACGGCAGCAACAAAATTAACTGAGCATAAAGGTTCGCGAGTGAAGAAACAAGTCGAGGATGGAGCTGCTAAGCTAATTGAAGGACTTGAAAACAGAGTTTGTTGCCCTCCGCGTTGCTAAGATCGCCGGCGGTACCTCCAACAAGACTTGTGCCATTCGCCGCCACCTTACTAAACACCAAGTCATCTTATTTTCTTGTTTTCACTTATCGAGACGTTTGCAATTTTTACGGTTAAACACTTAAATGTTACGTGTAATTGTTTATATGAATGGAATGATAGTATGGTGAATTTGTGATGCTAAGTAAAATCAGATAATACCAGTTAACTATATAGGAAATTTTGTGTTGAGCTATTGTTGGAATAAAGTACTGACATTGATACTTGTTTAACCAATGGATGTAGTAGTTATAGGCCTCATGTACGTGTAAAGCCTTGAAAGTTTTCATGGCGACAAGCCCGACGTTATGCTTTGTGACTTCGGCACACATCATGTTAATGTTATATTTAAATTTAGGTATAAGACATCTTTTAATTAATACGCATGCTACCCTTACGTGCATAACTCGATCCCTGTCAAATAATTGGATTAAGGATAGTACCCTTTCAATTTAAAATTGTTTTGAGATGCTTGTCTTAACTTATTAGAGACCCGCTTTTAACGATTTTAAATTGCAAATGTATCCCATCATTGACACCTAAAAAAGAAATTGATTCGTCATTTAAAATTTGGGAACGAAAGAAAAGGAAATGTTCGGTTATTTAAACTTTTCGAGAAAAGTTTGTTAGAACTCATCTAAGATATGGTCTCGATGTTTTAAAATAATCGAATATTCTTCATCTTTCTAAAAAGGATTGGTAATTTTAATTTAATCTATTTTGATGCTATTGAATATTAAAATTCATTTTAAAATTTACATTTTGTTGTTTTATGGTATCAAAAATTAAATTAAGTTTGAATTTGTAAATTTCATTGCAAAGACATCAATTAATCGACCAGGTGATTTAGGCGTTGTGGGAGTGCTAATATTTCCCCATGCGTAACTGACTCTCGAACTCAATTTTTTGGTACACAGACCTTCTATTTGTTGTTTTAATTAAAATTAATATTTTTATTAAAATGACAAAATACATTTTTGGGTGCCCAATCACACCCTAATCAAAGATTGGTGGCGACTCCTCGAACCATACGTTTTTATTTTTTTGAAAGGAATCCCAAATTTTTCGAAACGAGAAGTTTTTTTAATCACGTTACTTTTAATTAAAAACTAATCATAAAGAGATTTAAAAATTGGTGTGGTTTTTAAAATCTCACTTTAAGAATAAAATCTTTTCGATACGGTGCAGTGAAAAGATTAATATAGGGAAAAGGGATAGTATGGAAAAATGAACAATACATGAAGAAAGGATAGTACAAGTTTAATTATTGTATTACAATAAAGTTTTATATGCAAAGCTTGATTTATATTGAACGATTTATAGACAAAAAATTATATTATTTTGGATTGAAATATGAATGATAAGCATATGTGTGTAATGTGGATATTATAGTAATTGTTGTTTCCTGCAGGTGGTCGTTTGGCGGTAGAAAATAATCATAAAAAAGATGTTTCAATAAATTTTAATTATAGATATTACAAATGTTATATATATAAGGTGATGAAAAAGTATATGATAAGAGTCGTGTTAAAATCATAAAGTAATATAATATGAGAAAACATAATAAAGAAAAGATAAAATATGGTAAGTGGCTAAGTGGTTATGTATGAGTAGTAATAAATCATGTTATAAAGATTATTCAATTGATTTTTTTTAAATCAAGTAGGTTTTAATTGCGATATGAAATAGTATTAAACTGCATAATTGCTACTTGAAATCGAATGTGAATTGGAAATTAATTATTTCATTATGATTTTATGTGATTAAATAGTTTAATAATAAATGTTAAATTTAGAAATTTTAAAAGAAGTAAAAAATTTATCAACTTAAAGTAGGAAATGTTATATAGAAATAATGTGACATCCTTAACTTGTATTCAGATATGAATACAAATTAAGGGTATTATATTCGAACACACATAAAATGAGAAAATATACATATTTTTAACCATTCAACCAAATAATGAATCTCAATCTAATTTTAATATTAAGTGTAAAAGAATAAATGTTGACATATGATTCACAAAGAGTTTTCTTTTAAGTAGAAAACGATTAGAATTTAAGTAGTAATTGTAATATTTTAAGTAATTAGTAGTTATATTATAAGTAATTATTTTGAAATAAATAAAATATAAGTATTTGAAATAAAAAGGAATGTAGTGTATGAAGTTTAAGTCATATAATATACTCCCTTTGTTCCATAATTTGTGTCATGTTGACTATACACATAGTTTTAAGAGATATATTTGACTGAGAGAAATGATAAAATTATCCTTAAAAGATAATTTATATATTTGACAGATTTATTTTAATAGGTGTAAAAGAGTAAGACATATAAGTATAAAAAGGAAATTTAAATATTATTGTTTATTGACTTTTCTAATATGACATTTTGAATTGAACAATTTTAAATTTAAAAGAGACACATTTAGTGAGACAGAGAGAGTATTATTTTTTAACAATTCCTACTTAAGGGCGGGGAAGGAGAATTTTACTTCTAATGAGTGTTGAACCCACAACCTAAAGAAGAAGAATCGTGTCAATGAAAACTTTTAGCTATATGCTCTAAAAATTATTAACTACAATGCATTATGTTGAAATAAAAAAAAAGTTTTAAACCAGTGTCATGTTTTCTTAATTAATAAAAATAATTATATTTAATACATTGATAATAAAAGTAAATAATTCACAAGTATTATTAATATCATGAAAAATATTTTAAAATATATTTAATTTAAAAAATAAATAAACAATACATTTTCATTCTTAAGTGTGCTTGGGAAATTATTTTTCCATTTTTAGCACACCAAACAAAAATCTTAATTATTATTTGAATAAACAACTAAAGATACATGGAAGTAAATGACTGTCGTTTGTGGATTAAAAAAACTTGTATCAACTATATGTTAAATAATTATTAGCTAAATTAATCTTATTTAATTTTTCTAAATTAAATTCTCTCTGCAATTTTTAGCGTCACTCGTTTATTTGTGTTCGCTTGTTTTCCTTTTTCATCTTCATTAACCGGTAACAGTATCAATCTTAGGGTTGATTGTAGGCCGTCAATCTTCTTTATTAATTTTTAATACTTTTTTTATAGCATGTATTTCTCTACTTTTATAGTATGTATGTTTCCTTCACGTTTTTATTTTTTTATTGGTAGTTTGGTTGTTCTTTTCATTTAATTTTTTAGTGTTGAATTTGATATCGTTTCGACTGATCAAGATGATATTTTTATTATTATCCTACTAATTTTTCACACTTTGAACTTTCAGATTGAATTTGGATACAAGTTTTGTGTTCGAAGATAGTTGTCTCATGATGTCCAACTTTGATTTGGGATTATTTGTGGTATTTCAATAATTTCATCTCTGTTGTGGTTTATTTATCGATACAGTCAGATTTATTCGTATCAATCTTTTGTTCGATTTTTTGTGGACGGATTTTTAATATTTCCTTACATGGTCCTTGTTTGATCTCCGGTGGTTAGTTTCTTTTGTAATGATTATATGAAAATATCTTAATTATGTGTAGTTTACTCTTATGATTGCAAGTCTTTCATTGTAATCTTATATATTTCTTTTTTTAATAAAACTAATGATTTCTATTAAAAAAATATATTATAGATTAATTATTATTTTTAAATAATTTAGAAATAACAATATTTTCTTTTACCGGTAAGACGAAATCGTCGATGGATTCAGATTAATTATTTTCTCAATTCAAATATTAATAAATTAAAGTGACATTATATGTTAATATCTGGATGTGTGAAAGATTTTTAAACAGGGATAACGATTGGATTCTAAAATAATTTAAGGGCTGATTTTTCATATAAACTCTTTATTGCAGAACGACAGAAAACCTCCCTTCGTAGTCTGAAGCGTTTCTTTGAATTAGAGATAATAAATCTTTTTTTTTTCTTTTGAAAAATTAGAGACTAGAAATCTTAAATTCCGACCACAAAGACTAGTACGAGCTTATCTTTATTTGCATCAAAAGAATAAAATCATTATATTATTTGAAGACATCACCATACAACAACGATGACATTGTGGGGACAACGTGAATCAAACCAAATAAAAATAATAATAGTAAACGTAGTAATAATAATAATAACAGTAATGATAATAATAGACACTAACCTACATTAGAAAACCATTACATGAGAGATGAGACTGTATGTTTCTCAGGCTCTTTGTTTCATGTTTCTCTCAGATACATGTAAAACTTATATAAAATAAAAAAATGAATATATCTATGTTAGACTTGCTCACACCCGTCACTCTCACTCACCTTTAAATCCGAAAGCCATAGAAAATTTTGTACAATTTTATTCACTCTAAAAATGAACCTCGACACCTAAATTTTCCCAATGGAATCACCAGCCGCTACTTCAACTATACATTTTGTTCATGTATATATAGAAAAATTCATTACCTTCAGCTCTTCCGGGCATTCACGAGGTTCCGCACAGTCATCACAAGCTTTTGTCGTTCGCCTTCTACCTCAGCGAATTTGAGGCTTATCTCGGAATATCTTTCTTGCATATCCTTCAATTTATTTTCCATAGATTTGTTTCTTTCCTTTAATGATGTTAGCTCATCTCTCCATTCATCCTGATTATCGTCCTTATCGACAACAGAGGCTACCCGTTCTTTCACTAACAAGTTGTCATTAGTTCTGTTTACAAGAAATCAATAATTATTAGTTACTACTTACTAGGTTATTTGGTTTCTTCAACAATCTTCCCACTATATATCGGTAAAAGTCTTACCCTTTCACAAAAGGCACTGCATTTCCATTTTCTTTCGATATGCATGCTGTCTCAAATGTAACCTGCATAGTATCATTAAATACCTGCAATTTTTTACCCATTTCAGAAATTACAAGTCAAAGAAAGAAATACAAATGTGATAGGATGGTATTAATGTTGTTTGGTAAAAGAGAAATTCATTGAGCCATTCTGGCCTTAGAGTGGTGTTGTAAATTAATATTATAGCAAGATCATTAGTTTTTGATAAACATGAAGAATGCTGAAAATTGAAACCTCTTAAAGCATAAATTCAGTAATGACGAACTAATATTACAGAGTTTCCCATAAATCAAAGGTTTATCGATATATATATATATGTACCGTTTGAAGTTGGTAATTGCAGAAACCACTGCTCTGCTCATTGAGTTCTTCTACTCTGTTTTCTAACTCATCAATTTTGTTCTGGAGATCCTTTTCCTTTTCCAATAGGACATTTGTGGATGTTTCCAAAGCAGCTTCCTTTAACTTTATTTGTCCCTGCCATTAGAATAAGAAAAAAATCATTGAGAATAAATTTTCCTTTTTCATAATCTCCACCAGTAAGGAAGGAAAATACTAAAAGGGAAGTTTTTATTTAAGGACAGAAGCGTATATTATAATAAAAGTTGCTGCTTGATAATGACTCCCCATATTGTTGTTTATAGAAAACCAGATGCCGTAATTGTAAACTATTTGCAGAAAATAGATTCAAAGGCAAACTTTATTTTATATAAAACTTGGATGTTTAAATTCACCTCAAGCAACTTTATTGTCTCCCTCAGGCTTGCAACCTCTTTAGGACTGCAAGGAACAGTGGCAGATTTATTGTTTCTTATTGGTGTTCTTGTTCCATCAGAAACGACTCCTCTTCCATTGCTCCCTTTCAACTTCTTTTCCATGCAAGTAAATGCATCTTCCTTCTTCTTAAGGTCAGTCTTCAATTGAACTACTTGCTTCCTGAGTTCTTCTTTCTCTATGTCACCCTCCAACAGTGAATGTTTCAATTTATCGCATTGACCTTTGAGGGTGTCCAGCTCTGACTGTAAGGATTCAATTGCCGCTTCTTTCTCATCCTTCAAATGCCTCATTCGTTGCAATTTCTCCTGCGACTCAGTTGCTTCCTTTTTCATCAAAGCAATTGCACTCACCAGATTATTTCTTTCTAAATTTCCTCTTTGCATCTGCACTTCAGTATCTTTGACAAGTGTTTTTGTATGTTCCAACTCAAGTCTCAAGCTTTCTGCCTGTTCAGCTTGTTCATACAGGTGGTTCTTTTCAGTTGTCAGCTTGTTAATCTCAGCTTTCAGGGTGCAGATCTCCTCTGAAAAAGCCTGACTAACTTCTCCCTCAAGCTTCTTTTGATCTTCAAGCTGCTTAGATTTATCATCAATTTCCTCCAACATCTGTGCTATCTGATTTGATTTTAACTTTATGAGATCAGAGAGGTTAAAGAGTTTCCCTTCATAATCCTCCCTAACTGATTCAAGCTCTTCATTGGCTTTCTTGAGCATTTCTTGAAGCTGATATTTCTGCAAGTGTAGTGCACTAGCTTCGGCTAGAGCACTTGTAGCTACCTTCTCTTTTGCATCAAATGTTGAGGCCATCTGCATGGAGAGCCTTTGAAATTCCTCCTGTAGCCTTTCAGCTGTTTTTGCATTCTTCAATCTTGTTGTTCGCAAGGCTTCCTCAGCTCTAATAGCTCTTTGCTCCTGCTCAACTTTGCTTTGTGTGATAGATTCAAGATCCCTTTCAAATATTTGTGCCTGTTTTTCTAACTCTTCCTTCAAGCTTCTAACATGGGTTTCTAGTTGATTTATGGTGGCCAAAGAGTCACATAATTCTTTTGATTGCTTACTGAGCTCGCTTTGCAGACACTCAATTTGGTTCTCAAGTTCATTTAAGCTGGCAGAAGAAGACGGGCACTCATACTGTATCTTCAGTTGTTCTCGCAGCCGGGTTTGCTCTAATTTGTATGAGATGTCATGATTTTCCTGCTTCAGTATCTCATAGTCAAGTGCCAGCTGCTCCATTTGTGCCTCGAGCTCATCTTTATCTCTATTGCAGATCTCCAACTCACTACAGAGGTTCATGAGCTTTTGTTCCAGGAGAGAAGTTTCCTTGGTGCCTCCGTGTTCATGAACAAGATGTTCCAATGCCCTCTGATCTTCATCCTCGTACGTGTCACTTCTTGAGATGGTTTCTCTCAATTCTTTTGCATTGCCATGGGACCCTGATTTTTTGGGAGGGTGGGGTATCTCCATGTTCTTTGCACCGAACATTTCTTCTAGATCTTGCACAGCAAGGAGTAACTCAGCGTTTGATTCCCGAGTCTTCTGCAGTTGTAACCGAAGATTAGAGTTCAGGTCCTTCTCATATTTCAGCTCTTCTCTGATTTCATGGACCAGAACCCAGGGATCCCCACTCTCAAGCCTGCCTTTTACACTAGCATCGTCCTTTTCCTTCCGAGAGGCCTTCAGTTTTTCACACTCTAATTTGAGTGCATCCCTTTCTTCTTTCAAATTAACAACTTCACGTGAGAGATCCTGCCCCCTTTTGCTCTCCTTTACTATTTGCTTCCGGAGAGTCTGTAATTCCAAATCTGTCACATCCACTTGCCTGGACAAAACAATGAGCTCACTCTTGAGCCTTTCAATCTCATTATCTGAACCTTGTTGGGAGTTTTCCAGTGGGAAGGTGTCCTGAGAAGTGTTGGAGTCATCAGTACTCATTCCATGATCAGAACCTGCGGACCACTCATGCTTGATACTGTCATTTCTCATGTCAAGTTCTCGTGGAGTATTGAGTCCAGAGCTACTATTAGAACTTGAAATGGTAATATCAGATCCACCGGATCCTCTATGGTTCCCACACAAGTCAACATTGTGGGTGGTTTTGCCGAAAGACGTGTCCTGCCAATAAGATATTTACAAACAAATAAGTAAAACATTCAAACCCATCTTCCTCACTCTACTTTAAGCAGATATTAAGAGATGAAAATTAGAGTAATATGGATTAACAACAGCAATAAGAAAACCAAAAACGAAAGGTTTCAGTTATAAATCCGATCATGGGAGCTTTACTTCAACCGGATCCTTCTTGATGCTTTCATCAGCATCACCATTGCTCAAGTGAGCCATCAAGCTCCTATCTTGTAATTTAGAACTCGCATCTTCCGTTTCTTCCACCTCTCTGCAAAAGCTATCAAACAAAGTCAGGCTCACGTATAAACACTCTTAAATTCCAGAAACAACATCCAATATCTCTAATTCTATATGAATTCAATTAAAAAATGACAAGTCTTTACCTTTGATCAGCATTTTCATGCAGCCTCTGTATTGAGATCTGTTCAATACCAACAGCTTGAATTCAATTTCAAACATCAAAATTGCTTTAAAAATATGAGAGAGAACAGATAGAGTAAGAGTGAGTAACTAACATGCAAAATAGCTTTAGAGTTTGAATTCTTTAACGGAAGAGAAACGGTGCAAGTTTTAATGGCCTCAGCATAAGCAGCAACATCAAGTGAAACTTCACCAACCAAACCTTTTCCCAAACCCTAAAAGGAACATTACTTACATCATAACATAAAGAAGAAGAGGAGAAAATAAAGACATTAAAAACACACGAAACTTTCCATCAAAAACTATATATCTTACGGTTGATAATACAAAATGATAGATTCTTTCACTGATCTTCCCAGTTCTGGGCTCCCTAACAAATTTAACGGTCTCGTAAACTGGATTCTCCCACCGACAGTTTCCGTCCTGAACCGTCGCCTTTTCTAATGTTCTTATCAGTTTTCCCCCATCGTCAGGAATCACTGATATAATCAATGCTTGCAATTTTGTCTCCGTCACCTAAATTACACATCAAATCATTCAATCACATTATAAAGACAAATAAATAAAAATTATTAATAATTAAAATCTATTTAGAAAATAATTTAACCAAGCAAAATAGCTCAAGCAGCTTCAAAGGGGGAAAATCTGTTTCAGCAGCGTTTTTGGAGCAACGAAACCAACGAAGACATAAGTAAAATCAATTAATATGAATTTATAAAAAGAAGTGAAGAATCAATTGAAAGAATGAGAATACTTGAGTAGCATGGAACTGCAACTTGAAGAGAGCTTTGATCCTGTCCTTGTCGCCCCTCCATCTCACCGACTTAAACATCTCCGCCGGAAATACCAGATGCGACCGGAGCTCCGGAAACTATAGCCCGAAAGCCGGCATTAAATCGCTCGACCAAATGCACGAAATTCAATCGAAATGCAAACACGCGCGGGATAGCAGAACCTATTGCACCATCTCCACGTAGATTTCAGCTAAACAGAAACGAGTTGGATCAATATGAGTGCAACCCAAGTCAAGAAATCAGAAACAAGAAAGCATTGAAAGAGAGCAGATCTACAGAAGAGCTTTTTCTCTTCGCCTCTCTGGTTTCTATTTGTAAGTTGTAACAGTCTGGTGGAAAGCGATTGCGCATTTTAAAATATAACAAAATTCAAAATTTGATAGAGAAGCTTCTTCGTGATTAATTATTTTAATCAGATATTAATTAAAATTATTATGTATGTAATCGAGGGAGCAGTGAGTAAATACGTCTTTAATTTGACATGTATGCCCCTTGTCGTATTACGTTTGGCGAAAATTCCATGTCGGAATCCATGGTCAATGGGGCATACATTTACGAAAATAAATGAACGAACATTAATAAGATTTTACGTTCATTTAATTAAATGAATGAATACGAATAAAGGGTTCGTTTGTTTATTTACGTTCATGAACGTTCGATTATATGTTCGTTTATGTTCGTTCATTTATGTTCGTTTATATTTTAATAGAGGGTAAGTTGAATATGTTACGAGGTTTATTGAAGTTGTTTGGATTTCAAGAAGATTGTTTTGTTGAACAAATTAGCTTTAAGACTTTATTATGTTCATATAGTTTATTTATGATTTATGTATGTTTTTGTCATATTCGAACAAATTAACTCGGCAAGTTATATTAATGAATTTTAAGTTGTTATTCTTGTTGTTTATTTTTTTTTACATTCATTTATTGTATTCGAATAAGTTTGTTTTTTGTGTTTGTGTTGTTCGTTTAATTTGTTCGTTTATGTTCATTTATTATGTTCAATTATGTTCGTTTGTTTGTGTTTGTTTGTGTTCGTTTATGTTCATTTATCATTTAAATGAACGAACATGAACAAGCTATATTCCTTAATGAACGAACATGAACAAAAAAAAATTTGTTCGTTTATTTATTAAATGAACAAACATGAACATACATCCGTTCGTGTGCGTTTGATTCGTTTACAGGCCTAGACATTTTCTAAACAATTTAATCAAAATAATATCTATTTAATTTTTTTTTATAAAATAGCACCCCAAATATTTTTATTTTTTAAATTAACATCCATTTCGATTGCATCAAACAAAAACACTGCTAAATAATTATAACTTATGGAATGCGCTCTTACATGAAAGCAATAGTGCTAAATAATATTGTAAAGATATTTAATTATTTGATAATAAAAATTTAAATATTTTATAATTTTTTATAATCGAATGTGGATTCTTTAGATAGAGATAAATTGAATGGAATGATGGGGCAGTCGACCCTTTTAAAATTTTAAAATTATTATATATTTTAGATTTTTTATGTATTTTTTATTAAAAATATATTTTTATCATCTGAAATTTTATAAGTTTAAGTTTATGTCCTGAAATTTTAAAAGTTCAAATTCACCATCCTAACATAAAATTATAAATATATCTTTACTTCTAAGAATAACAATTATTCATTTAACCTTCGAGGTAACTTGTTAACTTATAAATACATAAATTAAAAGGTTAGTCTTTATTTTTTATCCGGATTCAAAGATTTAGAGATTTTCTATTTTTTTCTCTCGTACAATATATTTATATCTACTAAATTTCTCGTGATAAAATTTATTATTGAAAATTCAAGTTTTTTTTATAAATTATAATTATTCCTTATGCTTTAAATTAATTACAATTTAATCTTTAAACATTAACAATCTTTATTTTATATGATTGTTATAGAAAGATTTATTTTTATGAATATTAAATGTGACCTCCTCCAATGTTTCAAAAAAATGTGATTTCTTCCATTTAATAAAATTGTTTATTCGAATAAAAAGTGTTAAATTATGTGTACATTATAATATATAATTGAGTGAATCATAGTTAAGACTACATGTTCGAAATAAAATTGGTCATATAGACTATATAAATTGTCTTTGTATCTTTAAGTTGATTTGATATTACTGTTCTAAACCTCGACCAGACTAAATCCCATACTGATCATATATTTGTTCAAATTTTACCTATTGAGGTTACGGTATTCTTTTAAAATACCAAACTTTTATGAGTTTACAATTTAACCTCCAAACTCTGAAATAATTATGAATTACTCCTTGGTTTCCTTTACTGTTTAGTGACCTTGCTTAAATTATTTCCATTGGCGGCGCCGACCACCGTAGCAACTTTTACATAGATATATATATATATATCTACACCTGCCGTTTGGTTGAGTAATATGTCAGTTAGGTGGGACGGAGACTGGAATAAGAGTCGGAAAGAAAATGGTCTTGTTGAGAATCATTTGTCGGGTGAAATCTTTTATCTTGAAATTCTAAATATGATAAAATACAAGTTTAGTACTTAAATTATTATTTTTATTCTGTTTTGATATTTAATTTTTTTAAATCATACCTAACGTTTGGTTTAACTTTTATTTTAATACTTCGTCATCAAGCACTTAATGGCGATGATGATGTGTCACCATAAGGTAATGCAATGGCGAAGCCACAGCTTGGTGAGGGTGGGCACTAAAATCCGAATTTATTCGATTAGTTACTTATTATATTGACAGTGCCCACCACTAAAATCCGAATTTATTCGATTAGTTACTTATTATATTGACAGTGCCCACCCTGAATTTTTTTGTGCACACCCTGAAATCTGAGTTTTCTTCTATTAGATACTTATTTTACTGATGATGCTTACCTTGAAATTTTATTTATACCCACCCGATTTAAAAATTTTATGTTGTTAATATGTGTGTGCCCACCCTCAAAAAATTTATGGATCGCCGTTGAGATAATGTGACATCATTATTGAAAAAAATAAAAAATGTTGCATCAATAATTCTATTATTTTTTTAGAAAAGAGTTATCAAATAGAAACATAAATTAAACGTCAAGTATGATTTTGAAAAAAAAATAAAGTTAGATACAAAAACAGAATAAAAGTAATAGTTTAGATATTAAACTTGTAGTTTACCCAAAATTTAAATAATGGCGAGAGATAGCTTTAAAGAGAGACAAGCAACAACATTAGCAGGAAACTTAGGTCAATAAATCAATACCCATAAAATAAATGGGTTTATTTACCTCACAGCTATAAACTTGTTTTAATTTGAAGATCAAATTAAAAAAAAAGTTTAGGTGGAAAATGAAGTAGATGTACGGTGTGGGGTGGTACGTGGTGGAGAGTTATAAGGTTAATAGCTGAGAATAAAAGAAAACCAGGCACACGTTTGTGTTGTTTGGTAGGTTGCTTTGGATATTTTCATTACTTGGCTTTAAAGCTGCTCATGCTCATGTGTTGGCTGTGACTTCAATGTTTAAGCCTACTCTCTCGGTCCAAAAGAAAAAAAGCTTTGAAGGTTGAGGTTGCTCGGACCAGACTCTACCTACTGATAGGGGTGTGCAAAATTACCAGACCCGGTTGATTCAACCCGCCAACCCGGATCAAAATAAACCGGGTAATTTTCTTAAAAAAATTACCCGAACGGGTCGAGTACCCAGCCTGACACTTTTCGGGTCGGGCCCGGGTCACAAAAATTGATTTTTTGGGGTACCCGGTTACCCGAGTACCCGGTTAGCTTGTTGTTTTTCAGGCTTTTCTGCACTGTTGTTTCATGAAATATTCATGCCCGCAGACTTTGAAAGTTATACATACTACATTTGTACTTATTGGGCTAACAATGATGATGTCCAAAAGGCTTTTAATATTAGAAAGGTAGGATGTTAAAATATTATTTAATTTATATTTTCAATTGAAATTTGGATTTACTATTTACTATTATTGTATATTTAATTATTAATAATATTATATATTAAATTAAAATAAACAACTATTTTTAAGAATATTTTAAAGTAACATCGGGTATCCGTGTATATATAATAATATAATATTATTTTATATATAAAAAAGGTCCCTAAAATAAAGTAAACAACTATTATTTTAGAACATTTCAATATATGGGATTTTTTTGTATATAAAATAATAGTATATCTTAAATTAAATAATTATTTTTTAGAACATTTAGAAAAACAGGGTATTCGGGTACCCGACATACGGGTACCCGGAATATCCGGGTCGGGACACGGGCTGAGAAATCACTGACCCGGATGTTCCGGGTACCCAGATTTGCACACCCCTATCTACTGATTCCCCAGAGTAAAGCCGCGCCAGTTCACAACAACCGACTCTCTTGATAATGTGAGACCTAAATTAAGGAACTAGTTCGTAGACAATGACAGACATAGAATTTTAGATTAAAAGAAACGAATTTAGAGATGATAAAAGGATAAGGGTGTGGATACCCTTTTCCCCAATCCCATACTAACTTAATATATTTGTATTCACCATCTACACATCACTCATGATGGGTAAAATTTTTAAATTAATACTCGTACAAGTAAATACATTCTCAAATTCACCCCACATCAACTATCCAACTGGATACCCACTATTTATCTTATGCCTGTCTGAACTCGCTCACATCCATCTGATAACAATCTTCCAGATTACTTAAGCAACAAAACATAAAACAAACACATACATTGTATAAGTAACAAAACATAAATTAAACATATCCCCAACATTTGGTTAAATTACAAATCAAGTCTTATAAAAATATAATATTTACATAATAGTGTCTGAAATTATATCCAAATTCTTAATGGTCCAAAATTTATATGTTGTGTAGTTAGTAGGCAAGCGGATGCAGGGTATGTAAGGTCTTAAACCCATCACCTACCCACTACCCATAGGGGTATGACTTTTTACATTCACACTTGCCCACAACCCATTAAACTTATATAAATCCTCACCCTAATTTAAAACGAATACGATATAAAATCCATGAATTTGTAACCAGTTGTCATCCTTAGACGAACTTATAAAATTAAGAAGATGAAATATATTATTAATTAAAAATAAAAAAGTATATCTATAATATATGTTAATTTAAAATTTTTACGACAACAATTACTCTTACTCACCTTTTTTTTCGGTCTATCTTTAGGACGTGTAAATACATTTTGATTTAAAAAAATCCATTATAATTAATTATTCTTCGTTGATTTTTGCATGTATATCTTTTGAGCAAAATCAGTACATTAATATTGGTGCAATAAT